ATATATAAATAAATTAATGTAGCATGATAAGATTAATTATTCTTTTATTAATAAAAGTCTAGTGATCATAAAGATTTGATAAGATTAATATGTAATTAGGATGGTTTGAATTTTATTAATATAAAATTTGTTTTAATTTATATATATATATATTACATTATTACGTATAATATTGATAATCTCTACCATTGCAAATTAGTACACGATTTTTATTCAATAAAGTTCAATGAAATTTTTATATTAAATCAATCAATGAACTATCTAATTTAGAATTATATTTGTACGTATTTACATGTTTACATGAACATTTTTTTTTTTTCACTTAATCCTCTATTTCTCTTTTTGATGTACATTCCCCGACAAAATCTGTTATTGTTAATGATGCATTTGTCAAATTCTCAAAGTTCTTTGTTTCTTTTGTTGTAGCATGCTTTATAACATTCGAATGGCCATAATTACATGATGAGATACTATTTATATCATCTTCAGCAACAATCGATGAAACGTTCATCTTCCAACTCTTTTGTGTTACTTGATTATCTGTAATGTTCATTTGGGAACTTTGCATGTTATCTTGTCCCATTATTATTAAATCTGAATTATCGCAAGAATTTTCTTTTTTATATCTATTGTCATTCCTAGGAATGTCTTTGCCCTTCTCTTTAAATCCACCAGAATATAAGTTACCATCAGTATTACTTTGTAATTGAATCAATTTTTCTTTACAAAATTCCACTAATTTTTCATTGATGCTTCGTGAAGAAGGATGGTTAATCTTATCCTCTAAAGCCTGTATTGACGTTTTTGTTATATTTAAATTTGATAATTGAACAGCGGAAGCAGTGGCAGTTGAACTTTGTTTTAGCAGAGAAAAGTTGAGATCCGGAAATATTCGATGTAATTCACAAATTTCACGGAGAATCTCGATATCTTGAATTGGTTGATAATGGAATATTAAAGATATAGTTATTAGAAATGTTTAAAAATTATTATCAATAAGTTAAAATTACTTACTGTAAACAAAGCGTAGCATATCAGGGTAGATAAGACCACCATGTTCTTTAATTCCTGGAAGTATCACCCGCCGAAACAATCGATCGCGCCAATATGGCCAACCGTATTGTGTCAATACTATTATATGTCCCAGTGTGTTATCTAGTTGATTATGTGGAATTGAACTGAGTTCTTCCTATAAGATGTGGAAAGAATAGAATGAGAATAATAAAATGTTATTAAAATACAATATTCAGAAACTTTACCTCATAACATGCCATTAATTCTTTTATTGCCCTCACCACAAGACCTTCTTGCGTAACTTCCATTAGCCTAAATTGATTTCGTTTATTTCCTTCATAAAAACTACTACCTTCAACTTTCTTCTTGTTAACACACCAATCATCTTTCTCAAAGTGTTCTCGCGTTACAGGCGTAAAAGGCATAGTTGCTAATATAATTAAAAGTTCTACTCGTGCTTCTCTCCACCAACCAACTAAAAGGTAAAGCATAGAAATGGAATAAATCACTCGAAACGGGAGTATTAATGGGGTTTGTACTTTGATAGAAAAGTCATTTATTTTGGACGAATCCGAAGATTCTTCTTGAATCAATTGTTTTGTTTGCAAGTAATCTGTAGTTGAAGATAATGAAGGAGATTGTTCTTTCTTGGATGCTTTCTTACGATAAGCATCCCAAGCACCTGAAATTCGAGTGCATATTTCTCGACAAAAAGTACATGCTGTGTTTAAAGATCCATGAGAGAAAGCAAGGTCCCCACGCGTCAGCATGATCGCATTCGACACATCTAATGGGAGTTCCCATGAACGAATATGATTTTCTAATTCTATAATATAATATTACATTTAAAATTAATTAATTTCGAAACACATGATACAAACTGTTAAAATTATACCTTTATCCAATACTTTAGGATCATTTCCTCCACGTGAGACCATTTCCTCTAAAAGCTGCCAACACGTCAAAGCACGTTCCATATATGACATTGCATCATGAGTTATTGTTTCTGAAGAAATATATGATTCTAAAAATTAATCAATTAATGTAACAACAATGATCGATTAACAAATATCCATGATAAAATGAAAAACAATTCTTTTAAAGGGTTGATAATACCTTCCCATAATTTAATTTGTTCCATATTCAGTTCATGACTAGTTTTGATTGAATTTTGGTTTTGTTGTTCATTATCATTATCAATCAACAAGTTTTTAACATTCATAACGTTATTGCTCCTATATTTATTACTTTTTTCATCATTTGCGGTATTAATATTAATGTGCTTTATTCTTTTAAAAGATATCCCTGAATCATCAATGTAACTTTCACATTCTGTTTCACCAATTTCTTTGTTACTAGATCCTTTTGATAATAAAAAGCTTAGACTGAGCCTTCTCCTTTTATTAACCCTCGTCTCGTCGCATGGAACATGATGAGCGTAAGAGCTAAGTGAAGTGGATGTTAATAGAGGTGATGAGGGTGGTGTCATGATAGCGAATTGTCCAGTTGGAAAAATTGGAATTAAGCACGTTCTTTTGCCTTCAAATATTATATAAAAAATAAAATCAATGATGAGGAATTCTTTAAATATTTAGAGAAAACTGAGGCTTACGTACTTTTTAGTCCAGCTACATATTCATAAAATTCATGACAACATAATACGAAACATGCGATACCTATAGATACAGCAAAAGGATGCGGTGTTGTATCATGCATCATGAATGTTTTATTAACCAGAGATATTTGTTTTTGATTCAAAAGTGAAAATAATTTTGACGGTAATTGATGTGGATCGTCAAAAAGATCTACCATTGTTGTTCTTGGAGAACTAAATAATAAAAATTGATATTAAGAAGGAATAAAAATGAAATAAACATTTTGAATTCAGTGGGTTAGTTAACCCTACCATTACAATGAAAGTACCTTTCAAATCTCAAGTATCCACAACTATTCATTACTCCTAATGAAACTTCGAACAATTTTCGCCAATCTTTGTTGGCAATATAAAACCCCTGTGCCTTTTCAAGTAATGATTTCAGTTGGTTATAAGTGACATGTAAACAAGATTGAGAAGAATTTGGTTGTGACGCTGAAGATGTGGCTAAGGATATGGAGGCATTGGAAGTTTTCGGTTGATAAATTGGAATTTCTGTCGGAAGATTGTTATCAGATACTATGATTTTTTGGTGGAGAATTACGGACAAAATATCTTCCACTTTTGGAAAGAAAAATTAGGTTACAATTAATTAAATACTCTAGAGTAGTGAACCACTGAGGGAACGTTTATAAACCCATTCCATGCTAACATCTAACAATGATCTTATGATTGATAATTAATACAGTGGTTACCAACCTAATATCTTTCTGTAAGAATTGGAAACAGGTAATGGCTGATTCTGGTTTTCGCATTGAATTGCGAGTTGAGCAGCATGTGACTTTTATTTTTAATTTTATTAAATAAAAAAAAAATATAAAAAAGAAAATAAAAAATAAAAATAAAAATAAAAATCATCGATATGAAATTATTAAATTTCCAAGAAAGAAGGAAATAGTATTACAATAAAAAATTGATATTAAATTTGGTTTTTTAACAAAATATAATGACAATTTAGAATTTTGGATCAAATTACCCCATATAAAGCGACAGTTTCCGGGTATGCTTTTAGAAGTAGAACGTATAATCTACAGGCATCTAAATACGCGCCAGCCATTTCATGGTACTCTAGCGTAGAATTAAGAGTTAAAAATTTAACACGTATTTGTACATCAGTCATAATGCAAAATTTAATGGATATTACCTGCACTATGTATTAAAATATCTTTTTGAGTTCGCGCCGGAAGTTTAAGAAAGAACACTAAAAAGTAATTATGAAAAAAGAGAGAAAGCAATGATCATTTGAGGAATTATACTCGAGTTGATTTATATTATTTATAGATAAACATGAAGTAAATATATATGAAGCACATAGTTACGAATCGACATGCTTTACCAAGCCAAGAGAGAAAATATTTCTAAAATTTCTCTCAAACCTTTAATACAATTTACCCTAAAGCAATCCTCTCACCCGTTGGGCAACATATGAGATTAATTTTCTACTCGTTGACGCGATTATTCTACAATCATCACGCCAGATCCCTTATAGGTAGTTTTTTTTTTTTTTTTTTTTTAGCAATAACAAGGTTAGCATCTCTCTCCCCCTTATAAAAGATTGAATTCAAAGGAAAAGTCTTGCTTTTGTTGATATAAATTTCAGATAATAGAATGTAATCATCGGGCTAATCCCATGATTTCAATCTGTTAACTCACGCTTGAAAGACTTTACAAATATATCTTTGAACAAAGTTAAACGGTCTATGCGCAAATATAATATATAAAAGCGTTGAGATTTTTTTTTTTTTACTCACTGAAATTATCGTCCGTAAATCGATGTCGCACGGAATGAGTTATTTGAACTAGGTACTCTTTCAGCGGTTCATGATTAGGAAAAAGTCTTCGTCTAATAAATTTTTATTATTAAATAATTGAGATATAATAATTTTTTATAAAGATTAAGATTACTTTCTTAATTCATGAAGAATTTTTAATATTCAACATTTTCCAAATGTAAAATATATAAATTTGTAAATATATAACATTACAAGAATGAAAAAGTAGAACTTACAATTCATCAAAATATTTAATTGCCTGAGTCATGTCACCTTCTTTGATTGATATTCTGTGGGCTAGGAACTGTTTCATATAAAGGTGTTATGTTGAGAAAATTTGACTATTTATACTAATGATTCACGAGCACATTAAAGAACTCCGCGAGAACGCAAGTTTGATAGCTTGAAGAATCAAATGAAAATTCATTTGACAAGCAGATCAATTTACGCGTTTGGTCATATTATCAAGCAACTTTAATGATAAACGAATTATTTTCTTCATAAAAATTATCACAACAAATATTCTCATCCTAATTGAATATTAGGAAACCATCATTATCATAAAAAAATTTTTTTTATATTATACATTACCTTTAACTCATATGCATCGGGATAAAATTCAAGACCTTCATATAGATGCTGTATAGCAAACTGCAATCTTGTATCGCCATTTTCTCCTTCAATGAGAACTGAACTTGTACGTAAAAACTGGTTGATTATATTGACATAATGTGTAAGATCTTTTCGAGATTCTTCGGAAGCAACCTTTTTATTAAAGTTAATATTTGTTGAGCTAACAACAGAGTCGTTATTTATAGAATCTGTGTGTGTATTCTCGGTGGAGTCGGTTGTTGAAACTGAAGGAAAAGATGTTGGCTTCGAAGTCTTCATGGACGTTATTTTATTTTATGAAAGATGGTGTGTAAATTATCAATGAACGAAATAAATAAAAATGTATATATATAGATAAAATTCACAAGATTGGTTTTTTAGGTGTTTATATTTTTGAAATTTATAATCCTGATGATGTAAGTTTTATCTAAAACTTTTAATAGTAAAATGAAGAATGTCATTGGACAACTTAATAAAAAAATTTTAAGAGTGGATAATAAGTCAACTTTGTTTTAATTATAAAGGTACATATAAATAAATACTGCGGAAATTTGTGTGACAAGGTAACTGTATTGGAAAGAGGGCGTTTGAAAATATTTTTCCTTTGTACATACTTGAACGATATTTTTTTTTTTTCCTAATGATAGTCACCATTTTAATTAAGTTATATATATATATAAAATATAAAATAAAATAACAAACAAAATGTTGACCCAGAGTCAATTATATAATATGATGCTAATGATCTTGAATGATATTCACGAAATATATAATAAATTATTTAGATCTAACCAGAAATCAAGGAAATAAAGTAAAATTTTATTATATATGATTTTTTTGCAAACAATAAAATTTTGCAATTTAATAATTTACGTAAACAAAATACCAATTATATTATACAAATTTTTTAACTCGGTTCCTCCCTCCCATAATTATGTAATCATACATGAGATTTGTTGATCACTCCTGACTGGTTCTCAACAATCCAGACCCTCGGCGTTTTTTTTTAAGGTTTCTAAACTCATTTGTATGTCTAAATTAGGAAAATCAATACATAACAATTGTCATATTCTTTTTGTAAATGTTTATTAAAATTATATGAAATTAAATTTCATGTGTAAATGGAAGCAAATGATTTTATCTATTATGTAATCTAATTTGATCTACCTGAAAATTTCCCAAACCAGTCAAATGGTTGACAATTTTTTTCTTATAAATACATATAAAAATAAGGAATTTACTTTAATAAAAACTTTTAAATAAATTAAAATATAAAGATAATTTTATAATTAAAAGTTAAATATATAAATATTTTAAAATATTATTTTAAATAATTTTAAATTTTATTAAATCTATCATTAAATTAATTTATATAATAATAATCATTATTATATCTTTATAATAATTCTAATTTTTTAATATATTACAAAATTATAAATAAAATTATAAATATAGTATAAAATTAAAATTATGTAATTGTAATAAAATATTCAATTTAAATATTTATATAGGAAAATCATATTTTTAAATTAATATAAAAAATATTTTAAATTAATTCTAATTAAAGCCAGAAAATTTTTAGATTTTCATGATATAAAATTTTAAAAGTAACATAATCATCCAGTTTTTTTTCATTTGCAAATTTTTTTATATATATTATTATATGTATTATTATATTTTATATTACATAAATAAATTTTATATTATATAAAATAAAGTTATTAGATTTATATAAATCATTCTTTCATCATTTTTTTTTAAAATAAATCTAATATATAAATAATAATTATATATGTTTTATTTTGTTTTAAAGTAGTATTTGAATGTTAAGAGTTTTTTATTAATAAGGATATGAATTTAAAAGATTTTTTAATAATGTAATAATTAATGAATTAAAGATAGAAATATAGAAAAAAATTATATTACATATTTTAGTCATATAAAAATAAGTAAAATGAAAAAAATAGAATTGAAAGAAAATTATTCAACAGTATGAAAATATATAACATTTAAATTACTTGATAACTCTAATAATAAACTAGATATGAATACAATTAATGCATTTGAATTAATGAAATCTGCATAATGTTTAATTATCTTCTAAAATTTAAATTATTAGTAAGAAATTCTTTAGATTAAATTTAAATAAAATAATTAAAAGTAATAGAGATAGTTAGATAGAAAAAAATAATACAAATAATATTAAAAAAATTTATTAAAAGATCAAACAAGACAATATATATATAATTAATTAGTTATAAATAATTTCACTAATTTTCATCTTATTTAAATATATGTAACAATTTAACATTTTACTTATTTATAAATTTTATTGCAAATTTGGGTAAGTAAATTTTTATAATTTTTTTTATTTATTAAAAACTGTAATATTTTTCATAATTCGAAATCTCCATTTTTAATATTTATATAATAAATTAATATTAAATATATAGAATTTTAGAAAATATTAATAAACACATATAATTGTAGTTATATATAATAAATTTTTGAGTTATCATTATGATTGATTAAGAATTAGAAATTTTAAAAGTTTCAAAGTATCTTAATTATAAAAAAAATAAAAAATTTTTTATAAAATTAGTAAAGTATTATATATTTATTTTTATATTATTTGTATTATATTTATTTGAAAAATCTAATATTTTCAAATTCATAGTAAGGTTTGTTTAAAATTTTTTTTTTAATAATATTATTATAATTCTTTAATGTTAAATTATCTTTCAAGTTATTATGAATACTTGTAATATTATTCTTAATTAAAATTAATTGCATATTTAAATATTTTATTAATAAAAGTTTGATTAAAAATATAACTAATATAAATAAAAAATTTAATATTTAATAAGAAAATTAAACATTGTTTCTTGATAATTTCTTCAGTATATCAGATATTCTTACTTCGTAAATTTAAAATAATATTACAAATTGCAAGAGTAAATACTATTATTAAAAATTTAAGATAGACTTCTTTGTTTTCTTTAGGTATAACCTTCATAATAATCATATTTATTATTAAAAGACTAGTATTATTAAACTCTTACTATTTAATATATACTTTAATAATTCTTAGATTTCTTTTTCATTTAGTAATTTTTATACCTGTATTTATCTTTATTTCAGAAACTTTTGAAAATACTTTAAAAAGTACTAATTAACTATCTTTATTAATAGTACTTTGATAATAACACATTTTTTCAAAATACTAATATAAAATTCATATAAAAATATTAATAGATAATATGTATTAGTAAAGAAACAATATAATAGTTATAGTTTAATTATTTATAATAATCATAAATTCTAAATAAAAATGAAAATCCTAATAATGTTTTCTAATATCTTTAATATATTTTTCAAATACTTTTTAATATAACCTTTAAGATATTCTTTAAATAATTTAACAATAGAATGTAAAGTTATCTTTTGAATCTCTTTAGTAATAATAATGATATTTTTTTAATAATTAAACAATTGTATAATTTGTCAGTCTATATTAAATAACGTAAAATCATTTTAAAATATATTACTTATATCTAAGGTTACTGGATAAAAATTAGAGGTTTTGTAAGTCGTTTAAATAGAAAAAATAAATTTTAATAAAATTATATTAAAACCTTATTAAAAAATCTGCAAAATTCTAAAAAAGATAAAACTATATCAAAGCTTATAAAAATGTGAAATTATATTAAAACCTTAGTAAAAAATTAATGAAACTATAGTTTAGATATTTTGCCAAATCTAAAATAAATTTAGACAAGTAAACTTATTTATATCAAAAAAACAGATGATAAACTAAAGATAGTTACCACAATTAAAAAAATAGCGTAATTGAATTACAACTTGTAGCTTAATTAAATTTCCTTATAGCACAATTAAGTTGCAACTCAATTGAAATTTAAAAATAATTATAGTGACCATTTTTATAATAAACTATTCTAACACTTTAATTTTAAAAGAATATTTATAATTTTATTAAATATTTTATCATGCTTTAGTTAATTTTTCTAAACAACTATATCTATCTATTTAATTTCTCTAAAAAATTTATAATAATTGAATAATATTTATTACAATTTTATATTAATAATAAAATTAATTATATTATTAAAGAATATATACAATTTTTATATTGAAATTATATGATATACTAGTTAAAAATTTTTATTTATTTACATTAATATAATACCATTAGCATTTCAATTACGTTTTTTTAAAGATTTTAAATTAAAAACTAAATAGTTATATAGAGTATATTGCTATTCATAATACTCATTTTAATAATTTTAAAACTGTCAAAATTTATTGTTTTCATTTCTAGATTGAAATTGATCATACAGTTCAAAGTATACTTAATATTATCATTATATTAATATTATAATTACAATTCTATTTACTTTATACCTACTCAGATTAGAATAAGATATAATTTTTATATTTCTTTTTTCATAATTTCAAAAAGAATCAACTATCAATAAATTATTAGAAAAACTTGCAAAGTAATAAAGTGATAGCAAACTAATATTATAAATATTATAAAAGTAATATAGTTAATAATACTTTTATTAAAATTCTTAAATAAAGCTTTAATTATAGATAATTACAATAATAAATTTGAAGAATTTTTATAAAAAACAGATGATTAGAGTAGTATTAGACAATTAGACAATTTTGAACAGTTTTGGATATATTTTAAACAAGTTTTGGACACTTTTTTCTGTATCTAAAACTAAGTCTAAAACTTTTAAAATCTAAATCTATATTCAAAACTCATCACTAGATTATGGTGATTAAATTATTGAAGAATTTTATAAGAAACAGGTGACTGCAATAATAAATTTATTGAAGAATTTTACAAGAAATAAGTAGTTATTTTATTGCAAAAATTCTAAAAAAAATATGTATTCTTCTAATATTTGAAGCTTTAGTTATTTGAAAATTATTTAATATATAAATTAGTTAATTAAAGCTAATAAAATAATAAAATTTAAATCTTTTTTTTCTAAATTTTATTAACAGGATCATCTTACTAACTATATTATTTTTTGTATTTAAAAATATAGAAATTTTTAATAAAGTTGAAGAATTTTATGAAACTTAAAATTCGCATTTAAGAAATAATTCACTCATAAAAAAAAAGAGACTATTTAACATGACTTAAATAATGTCTTAAATAATAAATAATAAATAATCATGATTATGTAAAAATGATACTAGAGTTAATTATATTAATTTTAAAAATATATAACTATTATAATTAT